ATGGCATAGAGAGTACACTTATAAAGTTTGCAGACGATACCAAGCTGGAAGGGGTTGCAAGTGCAAGTGCTTTAGAGGATGGGACTAAAATTCAAAATGATCTGGACAAACTGCAGAAATGGTCTGAAGTTAATAGGATGAAATTGAATACGGGCAATTGCAAAGTACTCCACTTAGGAAGAAACAATAAGTTGCACACATACAAAATGGGAAATGAATGCCTAGGAAGGAGTATTGTGGAAAGGGATCTAGGGGTCATAGCAGACCACAAGCTAAATATGTGTCAACAGTGTGACACTGTAGCAAAAAAACAAACATAAAAAGTGTTGTAAGCGAGACATGAGAAGTAATTCTTCTGCTCTACTCTGTGCTGATTAAGCCTCAACTGGAATAGTGTGTCCAGTTCTGGGTGCCGCATTTCAGGAAAGATGTGGACAAATTGGAGAAAGTCCAGAGAAGAGCAACAAAAATGATTAAAGGTCTAGCAAACATGATCTATGAGGGAAGATTGAAAAAATTGGGTTTGTTTAGTCTGGAAAAGAAAAGGCTGAGATGCGACATGATAACAGTTTTCAAGTACATAAAATGTTGTTACAAAGAGGAGGGAGAATAGTTTTTCTTTTTAACCTGTGAGGATTGGACAAGAAGCAATGGGCTTAAATTGCACCAAGGGAGATTTAGGTTGGACATTAGGAAAAACTTCTTAACTGCCAGAGTGGTTAAGGACTGGAATAAATTGCCTAGGGAAATTGTGGAATCTCCATCACTGGTGATTTTTAAGAGCAAGTTAGATAAACACCTGTCAGGGATGGTCTAGATCAGTGCTTCTCAAAGCCAGTCCACCGCTTGTTCAGGGAAATCCCCTGGCAATCCGGGCTGGTTTGTTTACCTGCCCCATCCCCAGGTTCGGCCAATCGCGGCTCCCATTGGCCGCAGTTCGCTGCTCCAGGCCAATGGGGGCTGCGGGAAGCGGCGCGGGCCAACGGATGTGCTGGCTGCCCTTCCTGCAGCCACCATTGGCCTGGAGCGGTGAACCACAGCCAGTGGGAGCCACGATCGGCTAAACCTGTGGACATGGCAGGTAAACAAACCGGCCAAGACCACCAGGGACTTTCCCTGAACAAGCGGCAGACCGGATTTGAGAAGCACTGGTCTAGATAATACTTAGTCCTGCCGTGAGTTCAGGGGACTGGACTAAATGACCTCACAAGGTCCCTTCCAGTCCTACGATTCTATGATTCCATGAGAATTCTTTGAGAGATTCGACAAACATGGGAACAAGGATGATCCAGTGGATATAGTATGCTTGGACTTACTCAAGATAATTAAGTCTAAAGCAGACAGCAAATTATTAGAAAGGTATCTTATAAAACTGGGTGATGGCAACAAAATGGCAGATGAAATTCAGTGTTGATTAATGCAAATAATGCATATTATGAAACATAATCCTAATTATACATACAAAATGATGATGTCTAAATTAGCTGTTGCCAAACAAGAAAGTGATCTTGGAGTCATTGTGGATGGTTCTCTGAAAACATCTGCTCAATGTGCAGCGGCAGTCAAAAAAGTCAACAGAATATTAGGAACCACTAGGATAGGGATATGTGCAGTTCTGGTTGCCCCATCTCAGAAAAGATATATTAGAATTGGAAAAGGTTTAGAGAAGGGCAACAAAAATGGTTAGGGGGATGGAACAGCTTCCATATGAGGAGAGATTAAAAAGACTGGAACTGTTAAGCTTGGAAAAGACACAACTAAGGGGGGATATGATAGAGGTCTATCAATTGTGAATTATGTGGAGAAAGGGAATAAGGAAGTGTTATTTCCCCTTCACATAGCACCAGAACCACAGTTCACCCAATGAAATTAATAGGCAGCAGGTTTAAATCAAACATAAGGCAGTATTTCTTCACACAACACACAGTCAACCTGTGGAACTTCTTGTCAGGGGATATTTTGAAGCCCAAAAGTATAACTGGGTTCAAAAAAGATTTAGATGAGTTCCTGGAGCATAGGTCCATCAATGGCTATTAAACATAGAATCATAGAATATCTGAGTTGGAAGGGACCTCAAAGCAGGACCAACACCAACTAAACCATCCCAGCCAGGGCTTTGTCAAGCTGGGCCTTAAAAAGGAAGGAGATTCCACCACTTCCCTAGGCAACCTATTCCAGTGCTTCACCACCCTCCTAGTGAAAAAGTTTTTCCTAATATCCAACCTAATCCCTCCCCACACACACTGCAACTTGAGACCATTACTCCTTGTTTTGTCACTGGGAACCACTGAGAACAGTCTAGATCCATCCTCTTTGGAACCCCCTTTCAGGTAGTTGAAAGCAGCTATCAAATCCCCTCTCATTCTTCTCTTCTGCAGACTAAACAATCCCAGTTCCCTCAGCCTCTCCTCTTAAGTCATGTGCTCCAGTCCCCTAATCATTTTTGTTGCCCTCCGCTGGACTCTTTCCATTTTTTCCACATCCTTCTTGTAGTGTGGGGCCCAAAACTGGACACAGTACTCCAGGGGAGGCCTCACCAGTGTCGAGTAGAGGGGAATGATCATGTTTCTTGATCTGCTGGTAATGCCCCTACTTATACAGCCCAATATGCCGTTAGCCTTCTTGGCAACAAGGGCACACTGTTGACTCATATACAGCTTCTCGTCCACTGTAACCCCTAGGTCCTTTTCTGCAGAACTGCTTCCTAGCCATTCGGTCCCTAGTCTGTAACAGTGAATGGGATTCTTCCGTCCTAAGTGCAGGACTCTGCACTTGCCCTCGTTGAACCTCATCAAGTTTCTTTTGGCCCAATCCTCTAATTTGTCTAGGTCCCTCTGTATCCTATCCCTACCTTCCAGCATATCTACCACTCCTCCCAGTTTGGTGTCATCTGCAAACTTGCTGAGAGTGCAGTCCACCCCATCCTCCAGATCATTAATTAAGATATTGAACAAAACCGGCCCCAGGACCGACCCTTGGGGCACTCCGCTTGAAACAAGCTGCCAACTAGACATGGAGCCGTTGATCAATACCCGTTGAGTCCAATGATCTAGCCAGCTTTCTATCCACCATATAGTCCATTTATCCAGCCCATACTTCTTTAACTTGCTGGCAAGAATACTCTGGGAGATGGTATCAAAAGCTTTGCGATAGTCAAGATATAACACATCCACTGCTTTCCCCTCATCCACAGACCCAGTTATCTCCTCATAGAAGACAATTAGGTTAGTCAGGCATGACTAGCCCTTGGTGAATCCATGCTGACTGTTCCTGATCACTTTCCTCTCCTCTAAGTGCTTCAGAATTGATTCCTTGAGGACCTGCTCCATGATTTTTCCAGGGACTGAGATGAGGCTGACTGGCCTGTAGTTCCCCGGATCCTCCTCCTTCCCTTTTTTTAAAGATGGGCACTACATAGCCTTTTTCCAGTCATCCGGGACCTCCCCCGATCGCCACGAGTTATCAAAGATAATGGCCAATGGCTCTGCAATCACATCCGCCAACTCCTTTAGCACCCTCGGATGCAGCGCATCTGGCCCCATGGACTTGTGCTCATCCAGTTTTTCTAAATAGTCCCGAACCACTTCTTTCTCCACAGAGGGCTAGTCACCTTCTCCCCATACTGTTTTGCCCAGTGCAGTAGTCTGGGAGCTGACCTTTGTTGTGAAGACAGAGGCAAAAAAATAATTGAGTACATTAGCTTTTTCCACATCCTCTGTCACTAGGTTGCCTCCCTCATTCAGTAAGGGTTCCACACTTTCCTTGACTTTCTTCTTGCTGCTGACATACCTGTAGAAACCCTTCTTGTTACTCTTAACATCTCTTGCTAGCTGCAACTCCAAGTGTGATTTGGCCTTCCTGATTTCATTCCTGCATGCCTGAGCAATATTTTTATACTCCTCCCTGCTCATTTGTCCAATCTTCCACTTCCTGTAAGCTTCTTTTTTTCGTTTAAGGTCAGCAAGGATTTCACTGTTAAGCCAAGCTGGTCGCCTGCCATATTTACTATTCTTTCTACACATCGGGATGGTTTGTTCCTGCAACTGAAATAAGGATTCTTTAAAAAACAGCCAGCTGTCCTGGACTCCCTTCCCCCTCATGTTATTCTCCCAGGGGATCCTGCCCATCAGTTCCCTGGTGGTCATGGGTGAAACCCCATGCTTTGGGTGTCCCTAAGCCTCTGACTGCCAGATGTTGGGACTGAACAACAAGGGATGGATCACTCAATAATTGCCCTGTTCTATTTATTCCCCCTGAAGCACCTGGCATTGGTCACTGTCAGACGACAGGATACTGAGCTAGATGGACCATTGGTCTCACCAGTATGGCTAGTCTTTTATTCTTATGAGGAGCCTGGAGCACAGGCTGACCCATTGCTGACAGATATTTTGATGCAGACTGAACACCTTGCTCAAATACATGTACTGCAGAGAGAATCTGTCACAGGTAGCAAATCTGTCACAGGTGTCCTATCTAAGGGCATTTCTACACTGGAGCTGGAGGTGTAATTTCCAGCTTGGGTAGATTTGTTCACACACTAGCTCAATGTAAAGTAGCATGCAAATAACTACTTGAGCTGGAAATTACACCTTCAGCTCCAGTGTAGATGGGCCCTGAAAGCCAACAAGACCCAAGGCATAAGAGCTAGGCCTTTGGAGATGCTGGCTGTTCTCAGGGAATGGCTTTGGGGTGGCTGGGTTGGTTGCTGGGGGTCAGAATAAATGACATTTTCAAGGGCCAATGGGAGTTTGAGCTGCCAGCTGGAGCAATTGCAGGGCTGTGGACGTGCTTCCTGCTGTCCAGTCATCAACCTTCCTTTACAAATTACCATCTCCAGGTCATGTCTCAGGGGAAAGATTTGCTCTGATACAGTTGCTGAATCCTTGTCAGTCAATTCTTCTCCTACTGGTTGCATTCCTCCCAGAGATTAGCATATTTTGATGCCTCATGAGTAATTCAGCCCTGAGTTTTAAGAATCCTTTGTGGTCTCTTGTTCCCAGGCAGAGCAGGTACTGGAGCAGTTCATGGACAGTAAGACGGCAGAAGCAGCCACCATTGTCACGGCTGACAAAATGCTGACAGATTTACAAAAGCGCCTGGCGGGTAAGTTTCTCTGAAAGGATTTTAAGCGGATTCCTTTCTGTATTTCAGTAATTTCAAGAAAAAAACAATTATTCAGATGATAGAGTTAAGGATGAGAATCCATGGTCACCCGGGGCTTCATAGCTGTCCCTATGGTGAACACCATGACCACTTGGAACTCTCCCATTACAGGGTATGGGTTTGGGGAACTATGGGGTATTCTCAGTCACTCCTGCAGAAACTTCCACTTTTTATAAATTGTCACACTGTCTGTCCGGAGTGTCTCACCACTGTGAGTGCCAATCTCAGGTCAGACTGTCAGAAAACAGGGCAGAGACCCCACACTGCTGGTGTATTCTAAAATTAGATTGCACCAAGCCAGTAACAAACGTGCACTCGTGGATCACCATACTAGTCTTACCATGGAGTCACCGACAGTCCCCTTAGACTCTCCAGTCTATCTTGTCACCTAGACAACTGAACTTAGTGGTAATGGCCAAAAATCAAATCTTGTTTCTCCCAATCCCAAAGACCAGTCACTTACCCCAGATCAATTGATATTCCAGACCTTGCACCATGGACAATGCTGGCAGCCAATTCCATAGTCAATTAACTAAAGATTTATTAGCTAAGAAATGGATATGAGAGTTATTGAGAGCTTAAAGCAGGTAAAAATATTCACATGTGAGTCACAGTTTGAAATTCCAAGTGGTTACAGTGATGATTTCAATAATTTCCATCCCACCATCTGTGAGAGTGAGGGATCGTCCTTCAGGATAGATTGTAGATCCTTGATGATGCGCTGGAGAGGTTTTAGGTGGGAGCTGAAGGTGACGGCTAGTGGCATTCTGTTACTTTCTTTGTTGGGCCTGTCCTGTAGTAGGTGACTTCTGGGTACTCTTCTGTCTCTGTCAATCTGTTTGTTCACTTCAGCAGGTGGGTATTGTAGTTTTAAGAATCCTTGATAGAGATCTTGTAGGTGTTTGTCTCTGTCTGAGGGGTTGGAGCAAATGCAGTTGTATCTTAGATCTTGGCTCTAGATTATGGATTGTGTGATGTGGTCTGGATGGAAGCTGGAGGCATGTAGGTACGTATAGCGGTCAGTAGGTTTCCGGTATAGGGTGGTGTTTATGTGACCATCGCTTATTAGCACTGTAGTGTCCAGGAAGTGGATCTCTTGTGCAGACTGGTCCAGGCTGAGGTTGATGGTGGTATGGAAATTGTTGAAATCATAGTGGAATTCCTCAAGGACTTCTTTTCCATGGGTCCAGATGATGAAGATGTCATCAACGTAGCACAAGTAGAGTAGGGGCATTAGGGAACGAGAGCTGAGAAAGCATTGTTCTAAGTCAGCCATAAAAATGTTGGCATACTGTGGGGCCATGCGAGTACCCATAGCAGTGCCGCTGACTTGAAGGTATACATTGTCCCCAAATGTGAAATAGTTGTGGGTAAGGACAAAGTCACAAAGTTCAGCCACCAGGTTAGCTGTGACATTATCGGGATACTGTTCCTGACAGCTTGTAGTCCATCTTTGTGTGGAATGTTGGTGTAGAGGGCTTCTACATCCATAGTGGCCAGGATGGTGTTTTCTGGAAGATCACCAATGGATTGTAGTTTCCTCAGGAAGTCAGTGGTGTCTCGAAGATAGCTAGGAGTGCTGGTAGCATAGGGCCTGAGAAGAGAATCTACATAGCCAGACAATCCTGCTGTCAGGGTGCCAATGCCTGAGATGATGGGGTGTCCGGGATTTCCGGGTCGGAATATGAATGAGAGGCTGCTAGGCAGCTCTCTAACACCACATTCTACAAGCCATTACCCTCTGATCCCACTGACGGTTACCAAAAGGAACTACACCATCTGCTCAAGAAACTCCCTGAAAAAGCACAAGAACAAATCTGCACAGACACACCACTAGAACCTCGACCAGGGGTATTCTATCTGCAATCCAAGATCCATAAACCAGCAGGCTTGGAGCCCAGGTCTCCCATATCCCCAATGAGTGTCTAGATGAGGTTGGGGGTCTCTCTCTTGTTCTGGTTTGTCCAGAGAAAGGATTGAACAGGCCAAGGCACTCCAGGGGAGGGTTAATGGCTCAGAATCCTGAGCAGAGGGAGGCGCCTTAGAATCATAGAATATCAGGGTTGGAAGGGACCTCAGGAAGTCATCTAGTCCAATCCCCTGCTCAAAGCAGGACCAACACCAACTAAACCATCCCAGCCAGGGCTTTGTCAAGCTGGGCCTTAAAAAATCTAAGGATGGAGATTCCGCCACTTCCCTAGGTAACTCATTCCAGTGCTTCACCACCCTCCTAATGAAATAGTGTCACCGAGTATTGGGGGACTCAGGGCCCTGCACCCCCGGCCTCCTGCGATTCACTATGACTCTCAGCCAGCCAGTAAAGCAGAAGGTTTATTTGGATGACAGGAATACAGTCCAAGACAGGTCTTGCAGGCACAGACAACAGGGCCCCCCTCAGTTAGGTCCAGCTTGGGGTCCCAGGGCATCCCAGCCCACCCCCCTTTGGGGGGTCAGAGCCATCTCTGCCTCCCAGCCATCTCTCCAGCCCGCTTCCAGCATGCTTCCAGCACTCTGCCTTCAGCGACCCCTCCCACAGCCTTTGTTCAGTTTCACGTGCCCAGGCGTCAGCTTACAACAAACCCCCACCAGGGTTCTCATGTCACAA